AGCGGGAGCGCCTCCGCGCTCCCAAGCGGCGCACTGTAGCAGTGTGCCACCGGGCTGGCCCTTTCTTCAAGTTTTCTAACTAATATTTTGACAGTTAAATGACGGACGTTTCTTAGAGGTTAGTACAATATGTTGTCATTCGTTTTTTCAGTCAAGTATTTATTGGGCATCTACCATGTGTCAGACACACTGCCCGCATGGACCTTCAATTGAATTCAGAAAAACTTCTCTCATTTAGTTTTTTTTATCTTGTTTTTTTCTTTTGTTCTTTTCTAAAAAAAATTTTTTGTTTCATTTACTTTGATTTGAGTTAAAATGTCTAATATAAGGAATCCCTCTAGCAGTGTGAATTCAGAAAAAGAAATGTATATCTTGGTTTATGCCATGTAAATATGAGAATCAAAGTATAAATTAGCAAGATATTTTGAATTTTATTTAGATTCATATCTTTTCTGCAATTAGCAAAATACCAAACTTAGCAATAGTGGTCTTAAAAGTTTAATATGATGTTTTTTTGCAGTTCACATTTATAGCTGGGAGAAACAGTATTCCCCATCAATGGTAGCTTGTGTCTATTCCAGCTATTCAGTGAGATTCTAATATTTGCAATATGGTGTGTTTGCTACTTTCTTATATTATCAAGTATTGAGCCAAGATGATGAAGAATGATAGAAGATACTTAGGAGGGTTGATTTAAATTGGATATTTCATAGAAGAGACAATAGGGAAAGTCATTGCATATGAATGATTCAGAAAAAGGAAGTGTTGACATCTTGTAGAACTAAATGGTCAGTCTTCTTTACAAATGTGTCTTTGCAAGAGTGTAACAAGTGATAATTCTATTTCACACCTTTTTTTATATGGATTTTTTCCCCCAGGTATGTGAAATAATTAGATTGATTTCCTCATAGAAATGACAATGTTGAAAAGTAGATCAAAGGACTTTTGTTCATTAAAATTATGCTTCCTATGCTTTCTTTTTGCACATACAGTTTCCAGAACGATAAAGATTAATGCTAATATGAATTTTACAAAAGCAATTTGCAGTGAAATTAGCATTTTAAGATTATGGTTGGCTTTTAATAAAACGTCTTCTAATTTAAGAAGAATTCAACTAACTGTATTTTGCCCAGAAATAAATATCGGAATTCGTAAATAGGTACTTTTTAATAATAGGAATAATAAATTCATAGATGGCAATTTTTTCTAAATACTCTTTAGATGCTGTATTTGAAACCACCATGGACTGTAATACATTTATTACAGTGTTTTAGAAAACATTGGTTGGCTGTATTTGGATTAGTTATGGAAAAGGACTTGCTTTTAACTATTGAGAGCCTATATGAAAATCTCTGTAAAGGTATGAATCTTTTATTTTTCTCTTTAGCAGTGTTGTGTTAAAGTATTATGTCAGATTAGTAGATATATTCCAAATTCATGAAAAATTTGTTAATTCATTCTTAATCATTTATACTTCTAATTTTTAAACGGAATTTTTGGTAGTTGGATGAATGGATGTAGTTCATAGAACTTGTAATTATAAATGGTATCATTGTTGATGTTCCTGGATATTGTGAATATATAATTTTTAATAATTTTTAGTTTGAAAACTTTTTGAACCATGTTTTGCAGTCTATTCAGGTATGCAAATAAAATTAATTAGATTTTTAAAAAATTTCTCACTATTGTACACTATTATAACACAGAAACTAATTTTTTGAATAGTAAATCAAGGTTTTCTATCTAAACTATATGGATCAGGAATAGGAAACTTTTGGCTTTGGTGCACAGTGAATTTTAGAACTGAAAGAGACCACAGTGAACCACTTTGTTCAACACAGCCTTGAGAATCTTGAAGTTCCTCTGCTGTCACATGTTGGGTGTGGAGATTGATGGGAAGCCTGACAGATGGTACCTTTGGTTCTCAACCCCAACTTTAGCCAGCATGGCTTTTTTTTTTTTAACTTTTTATATGTGGAGATTACATGTAGGATTTGAAAAAAAGTTTCTC